AGCGAGATACAACGTTCTGTACTGTACTAAGTTGGTGAAAAACTATGAGGTCATGCAGATATCGTAGTTGTGATCGAAACAGTGTAACAGAGCGTTTTTTAGATATAAGTGCGAAGGTTAGGTTAGGTTAAGTTCTGAAGCGTTGTAAAACCGCATCAAACAATGTCGGCTATTGAGATGCAGTGTTTTTCACCATCACAAGTCGGAAACTGCGATGTCTAATGTGAAAGTGCGTGAAACCGTTGTAATGTTGCAGAAAGCTTTGTAAAGTAGCGAGTAAAACGTTTTCTAACGATAGAATTGTGAAGGTTAGGTTAGGTTGGGTTTGTTAGTTTAAGCTAGGTAGCGTCGTGAAACCACAAAAAAACAACCTCATCCAGCGAGATAGTTGTTTTGTTGCGAGTAAGAAATGCTATAGGTGAAATTTGTTAAAGCACACAACACGGCGCAAACTAGCCAGATAGTGCGTCTTGTACCGTTACAAGTGCGAAACTGCTATATTGTGATAATCTCGTGATAGCGCATGCAAGCATCGTGAAACCTTAAATAACAATGTCATGAGCGAGATACAGCGTTCTGTACTGTACTAAGTTGGTGAAAAACTGTAAGGTCATGCAAATATCGTAATTGTGGGCGAATCAGTGTAACAGAGCGTTTATTAGAAAGAAATACGAAGGTTAGGTTAGGTTCAGTTATGAAGCGTTGTAAAACCGCTATAAGCAATGTCAGCTTTTGAGATGCAGTGTTTTTCACCATTAAAAGTCGGAAACTGCGACATCTAATGTGAAATCGCATAACACCGTCGTAATGTTGCAGAAAGCATTGTAAAGTAGCGAGTAAAACGTTTTCTAACGATAGAATTGGGAAGGTTAGGTTAGGTTGCGTTATGTTCGAACTTGGCAACTTGGTGTAAAATACTTCCGACGAAGTATTTGACACAAGCTTTCCAAGTTTGTGCTGTTTTTTTTTTCCTTGCATGTGAGTTAGTTTTTTTTTTTTTTCCTCTTGCATGTGAGTGAGTGAGATAACTATTTGGTCCTGTTACGACCGGCGCCTGGGCCGACGAGGGAGCTGCGTTCTTCCTTCGTCAAAGAAGTCGCCGAAGGGCTGCCGGCCTGATGTCTGCCATGTAATAATTGTCCTTACTAGCCGCAAAGCGAGGCATCGTGCCGTCAGGTGCCATAAACAGTTACCCGAGAAGACCACAATGGTTTCCGCAGACGCAACGTCTTCCTTGGATGAGACAGCGGCGTCAGCTGCAACGACAACTTGCCCCGCTAATTGAGCGAGCAGATCGGCGGACCTTTTGAACTTTGTTGCGGCAGCCCCTTTTGATACATCTTGTCGTCTGAGTGTGGGACCCCTCACCCAGCGGCGCTCAAAAGACAAGGAAGAGCCCCTTCGTGCGACTTGTGCAGTGGACTGGCCACGACCCAATAGGGGCCATTTACCTGGGTGGGTGTGGGCGTCACCCTCGGAAGTTGTATGCGACACGTGATTGGACAGTGCAATCTGCACTTTTTCCCCGATTTCAGGATCAAAGTAGAACGTACCCTTTATAATGACTCTAATTAATGAGCCACTCAGATCAATTGAGAGAGCGCTTGCCATGTACGCAATGTAAATAAACCCTCTGTTCACCTTCCTGCTGCCTCGGCATCTTCATCCCGGGTCTCTAGGGGCAGCATAGGCCGGTCGCAACAGTCCACAATGGGCGCGAGCTAACTTGACGTCACCTGGTAATGGAGAACGGGCTACGTATACTCCTTTCCTCATTACCAGGCGTACGTCTCTCCCTACAATGTAGGTGCCGCGATCTTATGCACAGTTTTCCTCCGCAGCGGTGATTGAATTATAAGTGCAACCAATTATCGTTCTCGATCTTTACAATTTATGATTACAAACCTTTCCTAAAGTTTGGGAGGCTATGAAACTAACAGCATTGATGTCGTTTACTCGAAATTTTAATGGGTGATGTCTCGCAGTGCCACTTTAGCTCATTTTCTCTTGCCCCAAGGTCACCTAATTAAATCTTAATTACAACGTCGTTCTGCATACCTGCTCCATCATAATGTCCATCCTGCGCATGACGTAGTTGATGTCGAACCATGCAAGGGGGTCATTGAGGCCGAAGTGGGCCCACGTGGTTTCGTACGGGTACGCCTTGCCCTGTGAGTATATATAAACACACGGAATCCCGTCACACCTCATTTACCATCTCCTATATAGCAGGCTATGGTAATTGGTATGGTGGCAAAAAGCCTCATATATGGTGTATGGGAGGCTATGCATTTATTTATTTGATCTGCATACAAAAATGCACAAGGACACAGGGGAATGAGGGAGCGCCCAGGCTAACAACTGCCACCTGGAGAGGCACAACGCCTGCCTACTCTTTTGGGAGGACGAAATAGATAGAGGATATGAAAATAGGAGGACAGAAAGAGAGAGAAAAAAAGGGAGGAATGCAGTAAAGAAAGGAAAGCGGGCGATGGAGGTGAAACGGATGGGCTCGCGTCTTCACGCGTATATACGTACCTCGCTGAAGTGCAGCAACTTGAGGTCGTCGAATATCTTATACGTGTCCACTTGCAGTTCGTTGGCGAGACGCAGGATGTGGTTCTGCGTGGGGCCCACGTACGATCCACCCAGGTCCACCCAGCCAACCAAATCATTCTTTGCAGAGAGAGAAGGGGGAGGGGAGGTCAGCAACAGCCTCACGTAACAGTAGTACCGTATACTTGAAACTGTTATGCGTTGCACAGCACATTAGGCCCGTTGCGCGACAAAACGAAACAGAGACGGGTTTGACAGTCGCTCTTCAATTACCTTTCTGAATATAGCCTTGTCGAAGAGATTAAACGATTGAATATTTCATGTCCAAAGACTGACGCCATGGTTATTAATATCTTTTGTCAAGTTTACTAGCGCGTTTCATATTTGTTTATATTCTTTCTTTTTATTGCTATTCTCTTACCTCGCTTCTGGAATCTTAATCTCATTCCCCATCTCTATACAGAGTGATTAATTTCACAGAAGATACTGTGGAGTTCTTGGGCTGTTTCAATAACGGTGGCATTGCCATTGTATGGCTGCATTGAAAATGGTAACTTTGCTATTCGTAAACTATTCGAATATTATTCGATTTGTATGTGTATTCGATTCCTATTTGATTCGGTTCTAAAGTTCGTTATTCACACACCTCTCACAACTCTTTCTTGGAGTACGTCATGTATGGTTAAAGAGCTTTTTGATGCCCGTCTCTTTGTTACACAAACATACGAATCCGACAGACAATTTAGCCAACTGGAAAGCATCAGACGATATTATTTGTTGTCTTCAATTGTAGTCTTGGAATCATGAAGTATAATAAAATGAAATTAAGTGATCGAAAATGGGGGGGTTGAAACTTTCAGTGGTTGAAACAGCGAAGCCGGATAATTTTGAAGACTAGTCCGGTTGCATCTGTAATATTTTGCTATAGGTCTTATCTAGGTAATGCTAGTTCTTTCTCAGTTGCTTCCCTTGTTACTATAGGCTTTGGCTAGATGACGTTGGGTTGTTTATAGGTTGTTACAAAAGGCTTTAGCTATAGGAGATACTAGGTTGTTGATAGGCTTTAGCTATGGGTGATACGAGGCTTCCTAGGTTGCTGCCCGGTTGCTGCTAAGCTTTAGCTGGGTGATGCTAGGTTGTGTCTCGGTTGATCGTTAAACAACAGGCAGTCGCAGACACGAGACGGACTTCCAAACTCCCGAGCCAGAAGCTCCCTTAACTGAGTGCTTACACCTTCCATAAATCTATTCGGGCACGTCGTCGTTCTCGGCAGATGCGGTGGGTCTCCTCGCCATCCTTGTTGCATTTCCCGTTCGCAAGTATCTCGTTGTATGTGCCATTGAAGCACTTAGTACAAGTTCCTCAGTGAAGCTGAAAGGTGCGGACATTGGGTTTATCACCGCGTTGATTCCGGCGGTTTGTTTTCAAGACTGTTTACAGTCTTAAAACTTTAACAAACCACCGGAAAGCGCTGGAAGCTAAACAAGGAGGGATGGCATGGGCAAAGAAAAACGTCACGGGAGCCTCGTAACCTTGAGCACTTTTTTTTAAGTGTGAATACACTTTATAAGCGACCCCAAACCATCCACCGCCGTCGGCGGCGTCCGCAGTCTTCTCTCTATCTTTAAAAGAAAGAGGACTTGGCGGGCCGCAGCGCGACGCTCTACCGAATATGCCACGGACGCGACGCTGATATCGGTGTCAGTAACGCGCCTTATACCCCTCCCCCTTCGCTCGCTCCTCCGCTCTCCTCACTCGCTGCAGCTGCGCGCGCACCCCTCTCTCTCGCGCGCCCGCCTTCTCTCTCAGTCTCCGTCGAGAGCGGGTCGTGAGGGGGAGTAAAGTTAAAATCCGTTGGCATTCGCCAGTGAGTTAACGTAAACTCCCCCGTGTGATCAAATTGCGATTCCCAGGAACCATTACACCATAAGGCACCATAGTGTGATTAATAAATATAATAGTGCGAATTAATAAATACCCCTCATAGCATCACCCCGTGTATTCGCACTTAACCATGTTCACCCTCAGAAAAATGCTTGGGAGTTTTTTTTTTTTTTTTCGAAACGCGGCTTTTTTAGTGGGATTGCGTGTGCATACATGAAAAAGTCGCGGCATCTCGCGGCGATTCCTGTAACGACCGAGCGCACCATGTTTAAATCAGCTAATGGCTGACAGATAGCTTTCTACAAGTGATTTTTGAGCGTCTTCCGTCATTTGTCGAAAGAAGAGAAAGCAAATTTCTAGGTGACTTAGGTAAATTTATTGTGAATTTCAGGCTGCGTGCTGCGCTATAACATTTAGCACCGTTTTCTGAGCATGCTCACAAAGTGTTGCAGGGCCTCTTTAATGCTATCATGTTAAGAATTTTCATTTTGTCGTACATTCATCAGCTTGTTAGAAGACAATAATGCTTCGATATTTTTCATTTTATCCACATCTGTGACATAGTGTTACACTACTCATGCAAGCACTTCGAACAAGCAAACACCCACCTTTATGGTAAACAGGCGGCCTCCGACCCGGTCACGTGCTTCGAGTATGGTGACGTCAATGCCGCGCTCGGACAGCAGCTTGGCGGCCGACAACCTGTCACATAGTAGACACGGGTACAAGAACGATACGAAAGACAGCTTAAATACGAACACTAAAAGTATTTTCTGAAGGCATCTTATATCTAATTTCACATTCAAGTTATTCAATCGTTTTGTCCTTTCGTATAGAAAGCCAAACGCAAACAAAACATGAAGAGTTGATTGGAGCCCGTGTGCACCCTTGCTCTCGGGAAAAGGGGGCCAATTGAAGGGGCCTGGGCGTGCCTGAACACTGCTTTATTTTCTTTCTTTCTTCTTTCTTCTTCTTTCTTTTTTCTTTCTTCTTCTTTCTTTCTTTCTTTCTTTCTTTCTTCTTTCTTTCTTTTTTCTCTTTCTCTCTTCTCTCTTCTTTCTTTCTTTTTTTTTCCTTTCTTTCTGTCGCATTGCTCCGTTCCAACTGTTTCCTTCCTCCATGCCACAAGTCAGACCCTCATGCTTTGCACGTCAAGTTTTTTAACAACACAACAAGTAGCGACGATGCTCGTGCGTTCACGTTTAAACTGCTCTGTCAAGTCACTTCAATAAAAGATCAGATTTCCATATTGAAAAACTGCTGAACATTGACAAACCCCCGTTTGAGAAATTGTCAGTTACTGGAAAATGGCACATTCAAGTACAAAGTGACCGGTCCACCTTTGAGGGCCGCATTATGGTAAGCTTGTTGAAATCATTATGACCTCTCAAAACATTTAAATTGTGTTTACCTCGCCATCAGCAGCTCGTTAATATTTAGTCAGCAGGGTCTCATGAAGTGTAAGGCCCACGGGACGGCTCTATGCTCTCCCATAGTGGAATGCCATGTTGCGGAACTATGCTATACTCTGAATCGTTACCCACATTCTCTAAATACAACAATGAACTCGTTCACGACTTAATTTTTGTCTCTTGGTGAGGCCCATTGGAGGGCTTTAAGCTCTCCCATAGTAGAGTACCTAGTACTCTAAATCGTTACCCACTTTTTCTAAACATATGCTCACCCATAGTAGAGTGTATCGTCAAATCGTCAAACATTTTATCTAAGCACACTATAGTGTGATGACTGCTGCTGTAGGAACAGCATTTGTATAGTACATCGTACGTAAAATCGTCGAACATATTTTTTTCTGAAAAAAGAAAAACGCTGAGGATGGGCAGTCTTCCTGCCTGCGTTCATCCGGGACAGCTTAAGGCTCTCCCTTAGTAAAGTGCGTTTACTCTAAAGCGTTGATTTATGCTAAACAAACAATCATCTTGTGTCTCCATTTCAGATCTGGGACGGCTTATGCTCTGCCATATAGACGAGCACGAACTATACTCTAAGTCGTCAAACGATTTTTCTAAACACACAGTCATTGATTTGTCAAGAATGGTTTATACTGTGTACATGTAGTTTAAATATTTTTTTCTAAACAAGTCATTGTGTATGGTAATGCCCTTGTTGTGTAGCCACTTTTTCCATGTTTTCGTAGCGTTCTACGATGAGATAAAATTTTTTCTAAACACGAATGGCTGCATCGTGTGTCAAGACGTGTCTAGGCCATGATATACCGCGAAAATAATTTTATGCATTCATTTACAGCAAACCCAATTTTTCGTTAGAGTTAATTGGTATACATCAGCAAACCACCATGGTGGACATGTTTTTAGCGAACAAGAGCTTAAGTAAAAGATTATTTTTATTTTTTAGGTGGGAGAGGGGCACTACTTTGAATGGAAGGGGGGGAGGGGCAGGCAGGCATGTGGGATTGAGTGTCATTTTGTGCTGTGCATTCTGTGTAAAAACAAAATTTAATAAATTTAAAGGGGGGGGGGGAACGGGCTCTGTGTGTTACCGCCCGGCTAGGCTACAAAAGCTGGTCAGAGACGAACGGTGCTTACCTGCCACAATATCTTAGCCAGTCCTAGCAGCTGAGCAGGTTCTAGCGATGCCTGAGTAATCGGGTTTGACTCCCGGCCACAAAGTGTCGATGGGGGTGAAATGCAAGAACATTTGCGCGCTTAGATTTCGGTGCACGTTCAAAAAACTCCTAATGTTCAAATTAGTTTGGCGTTGTTCATAACCGTATTGTGGTTCTGACATGTAAAATTGAGCAAAGTGAAGTAATTTGGTTATTAACAATAAAACTTTAGAAATGCTGCAGAAATCGCACTCATAATTTATATTTATATTTTTACAGCCTATCCAGCTATCTAAAACATAGACGATTTAAGCCATTATGAGCCCCTGAAAATAATGAAGTGCTTCCCGCTGCAGATACAAAAGTGTTCTCGTTAATCGACGGGAGTAATTAATAAAAATGGCAACCATCTTCAAATGCCTCATACAGTCCTTAACGTCGCGTACAGTAATCACCATCCCAGGGGTCGACACTAACGCACCACGTGCACTCGGTTAGTTTCGGTGCCATTAGTTTTGGTTTCTCCGGCACTGAGCTCCGGAAATTCGACGATGGATCTCTGAAACCACGCGTAAAGTTTTCAATTCTTTAAAAAGTAGGCTCACCATAATTTGCGACGTAGAACAACTTCGCCGCATAAACAACAACCCTAAATTTGATAATAAAAAGTTAATTCAATTATTTTTGTCAATCACTCATTCTTGGTTGATCTAATTAGTGACAAAGTCTTTCCACCTCCACCTAGAAATCGGCTCTGAAGACGAAAAGTGCTTATATATGATAGGTATTTAACGAAAATTTTGCATTGCTTAAAGAAAAAAAACACCCTGCATATGTTCTTGTTCTCTCGCTGCATAGCACTATCACTGAACATCAATGTTCACATAAAAAAAACTTTTATAAACACGGTTTTTCAGACAGGTATACACCTAAGAAATACCATGTTGCTAAGGATGTAGATTAACGAACACTTGACATGCCACAATTCAATTTCAGACTCTCTAGTTTCTACCATGTCGAGTGAGAAATGGAATAAGGAATAATGCATGTGATGTATATTCTAGCAGAAGTGCACGTATGTACAGTACTCACGGATTGAAACAGGACACTCGGAGCGTGTGGCCGACAGACATGTGCCGCCGCTCGTGGTTGCACGTAGAACCAATGTGTTGCGTTTTGGTATAGGGCGATAGGGGAAGACCTATGGAGGAGGACTACTCCTTGCGATTACAAAATTGTCGGCCTGTAGTTCACCGCGCGTACACTGCCAGGATGGCGTTGCTGCAAGGCTCACGCACATTCTCATGTCAACCGAACTGGCTCGCTGCGGCGCACCATTTTATTGCCACGCCAGCAGACGACCCTGTCGTTCTGCGTTCTTAGGCGATGTGGTACGCATGCTGTGCTAGTAAGACACAAGATTCAGTTAGGAGATTGCGCCTTGCGTGTGTTCGTAAACATGATAAACATGTGCACATAATAATGGAAAGTTTACTTCTGGCTTTGGCATCGACAAGAAAGAAAATGAGTGTCAGGCTTGCCTTCATGCAGCATGGAAATAATATTGTCACGTGCTTGCTCAAGAAAGACGATGGCAGTTGCGCTTGTGCCATGAAGGACTATAAAATGGACGAAAAAGAAGAATTCGCTTGCGCATTCTTTTAAAACGACCGACCCGCTTCTGGTGTCTCGATCTCTGTGGCAAGACATCTGTTTTGACGTCGTGACAATATCGTGTATTAGTGTCGTTAGTGCAAACTGTAGCTGTTGTTGAATAAAAAAAACAGAAGCTCGCTCGTTCTTCCGTGGGCGACAACTCCACAAATGTTCGCCACGCAGAATAGCCGCACGCAATATTGACTGCTCGGGGCGAAACAACAAAATATCAAGTCACTGTTTTGATGCTTTACGGAAACAGCCCCGTGGCTGCTGCTTTTCTTTTGTGTCGTGACAAAAAGCTTGGCAAACTTTATAAGCTTTTGTGCAGCCACTTATGCATACGAGTGCATTTCAGGCGCGACATCTTAGCGGTATCCAATTTTTACTTGCGCAGCGTACGTGCCAATCGTCGAAGGGCGCCAGTCGAGAGGGTCGTGTGCTTGCACCACAATATGAATGGTTCGCACCGTCCACAGAATTTGGGCTGCATGCATGCAAAAGCGCGCGAGCTTTGCAGCGCCACGCTGGCGGTGTGCACGTGGTGAACTATACTGGCCGACTATTTAGTGACCAGATGGAGTACGCCTGCTCCGTCTGGTCTCTATACTCTATACCTGAATGCAACACCTCGGTTATGCGAGCCCCCACGAGCGGCGGCACATGCACCATCGGCCATGCGCTACGACTATCCTGTTTCAATCCGCGAGTACTGTACAAGGCCGAGCCATCTTCAGCGATCGACACCTTGTGATGACGTCGCTAGCTGCACGTGATTATCGCGCAAGAGCCGACCGCGCTTATTTCTTGTCCTTGCACATTGGAGTTAGGGTCAGTAGCCGCGGATAACCGGTTGTATAACGCAACAGCATGCAGCAGCGTAATAGTTGTAGAGTCAGATTTAATAATGTAATGGCTCGGAACAAGAATCCGAGCGTCAAGGACAAGAATGAAGCTTTTATTAACGTTCTGTGACATCAGAAATCTGAAAGAAAAAAAAAGCTCCACCACGTTATCAGGGGGGAACGCAAAAGCAAGTATATACTGTCAGCCTCACTTTGAAAAATGGAGATGTCAAAGTGATGGCATAGCGTGCATTTCTCTCTTTTTTTTGTTATAAAAGTTACGTAATTACAGGCTCGGCAGTTACCTGTACACTTTATATCGACCCATCAGTGAAACTCGGAATGCTCACAGCACTGCCGTAACACAAAGACTGCAGCTAGTGGATGAAACATTGTTCCGCAGCACATGCTCCGATTTTCGTCAGCTGACATGCCAGCTGCGGTATTTTTGCCCAGTTTCTTCGATGAGGGGGCAATGAGCTGCGACGTACAGGGACGTACACGCGCGCGCTTCTTTGCAACTCTCATACACGAGAAACACGTATAATCATGACGCACGTCGTAGACAATGTTTCCAGTTTGCCTTTCTACATTTTGCTTTAGGCGCCTGCTCTATTCACATTAAGCATACCGGATCCTAGCATCTGTTGACCTCCCTACCTTTCTTTTTTCTCTTTTTCTTTCTCTCTCTCTAAATAAGAGATGAGTGTTCTTGCTTTTTTTATATTTTTACTTAATTTATTACAGTTCTTAATGTACAAATGCAGCATACTGGTAGACGAATATGTATAACATACAAGAGGTACGCGTGCGCAGTAGCAGAACATTGAAACGATCAAGATAATACGAAGTACCGTGTGTAAACTTTTTGCGTACTATATAAAAGAAAATTGAAGATGGAAAGAAGCGGTAAACACAAGCGCGAACTCACATCTCTTTATTTTTAACAGAATCACGACACCATGCATGTATACACATATAAGAAAATGGGGTGCACGGGAAAATAAGAAGAACGAAAAGAAAAGAAACACCGGCGCATGCGCAAGAAGCGTGCCACGAGACGGGCTATCCTCAATCTGGCGCCCACGTATCTCGACATTTGTTAAATACCTTATATACAGTGAAGAAATGATACTTCCGCATCTCTGTAAGTGATAATGAAGCAGTGCTATCCTGTCAGCGTCGGCACGGGGCATTGCAAAGGCTTCGATTATTTCTTTTTATTTTGAGTTATGATATCGTGAGACAATCGGAGTGCTATCAAATTTCGGATCTTTGACACATGTTGCAATGACTAGCCATGTTTCCGGGGTGAGTAAGGTAGTTATCAGATGCATTTCCTATGGAGGCGGAAATGTTGTAGCCCGTGTGCTCAGATTTGGGGGCACGTTAAACAACCCCAAATGGTCGAAATTTCCGTAGCCCTCCACTACGGCGTCTCTAATAATAGTATGGTGGTTTTGGGACTTTAAACCCCACATATCATCATCATCAAGGAAGTTATCAGATGTCAAGATACGCGGGTGCCAGATTGAAGACAGCCCCTGTCGTGATGTAGTTCCTGTGTATGTAGCAGTGTTTTTCCTCGTTCTGTTTCTTTTTTTTTCATCCCCATTTTGTGTGTATAGATGGCGTCGTGATTCAGCAAAAAAAAAAGCAGTTGTGCGCTCACGCCTGTCTTGTCCCGTTTCTTTTTCATCTTCGATCTTCTTTCACTGTAGCGTGCAAATGTTTACACTATGTAGAACCAACTGCCCCTACCAGGCATCGCGAAGTACTGTCTCGTTGAAGTCAACTTATCGGCAAGTGAACTCGTCTTCGTGAAAGTCCCGACAAAGGCTAGCTCCAGCGACACATCTTGTTCGACTACTGCAGTATGCTGTCATTATGAACACTCTTGCGCATATACTTTCAAATCGGTAAATTTTATAAACTGTACAATGTAAAAAAACATAAATACATGTCACATATTTCTTATAGCACTACGTCAAGATGCGCGTCACAAGAGTAAAACAAAAACAAGTCTTCCGTTAACACTCCCTCGCCAATCCCACGCACACATTCTTACCGCTGAGTCCGGCTCCGATAACTAGCCGTGGTTTCTTGACAGCAGGACTGCTGCCTCCCGATGGATAGTCCATCCGTTCGGTAAACGGCGACGTCGGCCTCTGCGTTGCAAGGACGGTTCTTGTTGCAATAACGCGGACGACTCCGACGCGGCTCTTTCGGAGCTCATGTCGCGGCGTCAAAAGAAGGATGAAACCGAGAGGACCACGTTGTCGCGTATGCGTCGTATACGCACGCCGCGACGCGATCGCACTCAGCTGCTGCTGCTCGTGTGCTGTGTGTCTATGTGCAACGTACGAGTCGAAGAGGAGCGCGTCAAGCGATACGAGCGGAGGGAGAGGAGAAATCGATCGCCAGAACTTCCGTCGAGAGCAGCGAAACCACGCTGCTGCTGCTGCTGCTGCTGCTGCTGCTGCTGCTGTGTACGTGGCGCCCAGCCGGCGCTGCTGTGCCTGTATACACTTGCCCGCTGTTCTATGGATGTGTATGCATCGCCGTGCAAGAAAGCTGCAGACCGCGGTGCGCTGTACATTCGCACTTCCATGTTTGACACCATCGGCAGTTTGTCCCGCGTGCGCGGTACATCCAGTCTCGTTAACGTTCGTGTTTTTTTGTTAACTTTGCGAAAGAAGTGACTTCGACGTCCACGCACACCTTCACGCGAGCCTGGTTCCGCGTGTAACTAAACTGAAAAACGATAAATGAAAGGGAAACGAGTCTGTACTGTCAAGCAGTTCGTTTTCGCAAGTGCGTTTGCACGTTAGAGCGAGGCACAGCTGGCCATCTAGCCGCTCTCCTGTCTTCTTCTCCGCTTCATGTGTACGTTATTTTTTTAAAGACGATAGTCTTTCTTGGTGTACTTCGACGCAAAAATTTTGGTCCGTCTGTTCATGTGTCTGCGAGGCGGAAATGTTGTAGGCCCGTGTGCTCAGATTTGGGTGCACGTTAAAGAACCCCAGGTGGTCTAAATTTCCGGAGCCCTCCACTACGGCGTCTCTTATAATCATATAGTGGTTTTGGGACGTTAAACTCCACATATCTATCTATCATGTGTCTGCACATTTGTCTGTTTGTCCACCGTAACGATACCCCAAACTGCATCTACCGATACCACAGAGCACCTATATACTACCATTGACGATACCCAAACGGCCAACCCCATCCGGAGCGCCCACCAATAATGCCCTAGTTTCAGCGTTCATACTTGTGCGATTGTCATTTAAAATCAATTATTGCGCATATCTGAGGCCCCATGACAACACGTCAATGTTTGGTATGTATGGCTTTGTACTAGAGAAGGCATACATGAGTAAATATAAGGACCGTAGCGTTTATCGCGCTGCGCTGACGATGCAACGCGATGCTCAAAAAGGCAAGTGTTTCCAACGCTTTACTAATACGACACCTGCATGTCGCTTTGCGCTCTACACCTTATCGTCCCCAAGACGGGCGCGCACGCCTTCCTTCGTTTTCTAGGATAACTGCCAGATGGCGCTCGTGTGTAACGTGCCTCCATGCGCTCGTTCACCTTCACTGCACGGATCAAGACTCTCTAACGCAGCGCCGGCAGAATACAATTCACCGATTTTCTCGCGCAGAACATAAAAAAACGTTATGTTAACTCCCTCCAAACAAGACTATTGTCATTCGACGACATTTGCAGTGAAACATGCATATACGAAGCCAATTTTTTTGGCTGGATATATTTTCTTGAAACACACAGCTAACTGCAATGGGTAAATAAATAACGTGGTAATGTACAATTCACTTGCAGGCGTTCACACTGCAACAAAACATTCGCACGCATACATCTCTATCCTAGTTCTTCCCCCAAAATACGAATACATCATTTCGTACATAAGAACGTATGCTTGTTTATCACAAGTGGTTGTTCATCACAAGTCTTTTAGACGTTCTAATTTCACTGAAGTACTTTTCGGGCCATGGTTCCTCTCTTTTCACCCTCTGATTCTCTCTCTTTCTTCCTTTATGGCGAATGTCTCTTGAAGAAAAATTATGTATGTATATAACGACGCGTTTCTAACGTTCAATTTACGTGGCTAGCGTGTAGCGCGGCGCGTCGCCCTTGCAATCTAGTCAACATATAAAGAATTATTTTGAACTATATGGACGGACTGACGCACGGACAGACAGACAAACAGACAGACAGACAGACAGACAGGCAGGCAGACAGACAGACGCACCGACGAAATCTCGGACGGGCGGATGAACACACGGATGAAAGCATGGGGACAGATGGACGCATGGACAAACAGGCAGAAGCACGGACGCCCGAACGGACGTCTGTACGGACGGACGCATGGACAGTCGCATGGACGGACGCACGGAATGACGAACGCTCCATTCTACTCATCATCATTCACTCCGTGATATGCTGTGATTTTAAAGAAATTGTCTTTCTTGGGGACCTTCGACGAAAAAATTTTGGTCTGTCTGTCTGTACATTTGTCTATTTGTCCGCTCTTAACGATATCTCAAACGGCATTAAACGGCCAACCCCATCCGCAGCGCCCATCAATATTGCTCTAGGTTTAGCGTTCATAGTTATGCGATTGTCAATTAAAAAGCAAATATTGCGCATATCTGAGGCGCCATGACAACACGTCTATGTTTCGTATGTCTGCCCTTATACTAGAAGAGGCACACACAAGTAACTCTAAGGATTGTATCGTTTATCGCACTGCGCTGACAATGCAACACGATGCTCAAAAAGGTGTTTCCAATGCTTTGCTACGACGACACGCTGGTGGCACCTGCCCGTCGCTTTGCATTCTACATCTTATCACCTCCGACACTGGCGCGAATCTTTCTCCATGGGCGTGCATGCCTTCGTTTTCGAAGATGAATGTCAGATGGCGCTCGCGTCTAACGTGCCTCAAAGCGCTCGTTCGCCTCCGCTACATGCTCGATGCACTCTAACGCAGCGCCTCCAGAATACCATTCACCGATTTTCTTGCGCAGAACATCAAATAAACGTTTGTTCACTCTCTCCAGACGCAAGACTAACGTCTTTCGGCGACATTTGCAGTATAACATGCAGATTCGGGCCAATTTTTTTTCTCTCTCTCTTCACCGCAGATCTCCAGAAAAAAAATGTATTTTTTCTAATTCATCATTACTTGGTGCGCGAACGCCCGCTGTGGCTGTGCAGGATTTATTTAGAACACCACCACCACACAGGTAGTAAATGCGCGTTTCGCTTGAAAACACACTATAAAGGCATCAGGTAATGCGAAGAGTTACGTTAATTAGTTGCACCACGTCCGTGGCAAAATTCTACGCTTCTATATGCGCAATTGAACAAATTCACAATGTGAATTGTCCACTAAGTGCATGGGGTAAAGTTTCCGACCCACTGCGAACGGCTCTGCCACTAATCATTAACAGGAGCTGCACCAGGTGCCACAGCATTATCAAAGTGTGCAGCAAAACAGGTACGTGAATTGCCTTATAGATACGTGGTGGGTACACTTGCATTACGAGACTGCCGACTGGGCGAATCGTGTCATCGCGATGCACACGTTCAGGGTGAGGTGTTGTACACTTGGTACACCTCTGAGCCCGTAAACTCATATTTGTGCGTAGAAAGTGCATTATTGTAAAAGTAGGAGTGCGTGAATACTTGAGACTTTCGAATAATGCCTTATATACTTGATTCAGGCGCTGTATAAAGTATGTACGTATATCACATAAGCATTTCTGAATACGACGAATATAGGCAGTAGAGTGTGATTTATTGATACCCTCCACGGTGATCATAGTGATTAGGGTGCTCGACCACTGGCCCGAAGGTGCGGGATCGAATCCCAGCCGCTGCGGCCGCGTTTCGATAAAGGTGAAGTGCTATATCGAGGCTCGTGTGCTTGCATTTAGGTCAAGTTGAAGAACATCAGGTTGGTTGGTTGGTAAAAACTTTATTGGTAGTCCGGCACAGCTTTCGCCGACTGGACCTTAGGTCTCCCGCGTGGGGACGTCAAGACCTTGCCTGACCGCCACCTAGCGGGCCTGCTGGACGGCCCAGAGTTGGTCACCGAGGCTGGGGCTGCACAGGGCAGCGGCCAACCACGGTGGAAGGGTTCCGGATTAGCACTTTGCGGATTTCTAGCGCATTCCCAGAGCATGTAATTTAATGTGTCAACCTCACTATTGTATATCTTGCATATATTCATTGAATACATATTGGGGTATAGGCTGTTAACAGCGATGGGTTGGGATACGTGTGCGTCTGCAGCTGTCGTAAAGACACTGCCTGCATCGTGTTCAGCTTCTCGCTGGGTGGAGGAAAGGTTCGGTGGGCCAGGTGGAAAGCCTTGGTAATTTCATTATAAGTGTTCAAACGGTCTTTGGTGTTTCCCCATAGAGGACGGTCGCTGGCGCGGTTCACGAGCTCGCGCGCCTTGGCATGTGCCGTCTCGTTTAGGTTGCGGTGTGTCTCCGATACCTCTCCCATGTGAGCCGGGAACCACAGGAGTCTGGTTTGAAGCTCTAACTCTTGATAAACTTTTTAGGGGCGAAGCTCCTTAGGGCGTGGGCTGTGCGTCCCCTGTAGCCTGTATGTAGCCACCTCTAGTTTAGTTCTTGCAGTGTTCACTAGATGGCGGTACCGTCCCCTGTATGTAGCCACCCTAGTTTAGTTCTTGCAGTGTTTCTAGATGGCGGTACCGTCTCCTGTATGTAGCCACCTCTCGTTTAGTTCTTGTAGTGTTTACTAGATGGTGGTACTTGTAGCTGATGATGAAAAGATGCAAGATGTTATAAACTAGAAAGCGGTACTTGTAGTTGATGAAAGACGCGAGATCTTATAAAATAGGAATGATGTCACATATGGCGCGTGTCATTGGTTGAAGGCAATCGTTCGATTTAGTGCGGCGACGTACGCTAGGGGGAGCGATGTAATAAAATCGAGTGGACAAAATGTACAGAGGATTCATGGTTTACCAGGTTTACCTCCGGAGCTTCGCCCACTCATCATCATTCACCTTGTGGATATGGCGGAATTTTTTTCTATTGCGCAGGACTGTGGCCGCGCGTTGCGAGATCCACCCTTTGGCGAAGTTTCTTACTGCTTGTCTCGAATCACAGAGGACAGTAGTGCATGACAGATCCGTGAGAGCGAGCGCCACCCCTACTTCCTCCGCTTCTTGTGCGTGGTCACATCGACTACTTGCCGATATTCTCGTTTCGCCTTTCCAATCAACGACCATGACTGCAAATTGCGAGTGGTCTGCGTATTGAGCGGCGTCAACGAACCGCGTTCCCATTTCGTCGGCGTAAGTGCGCAAGAGAGCTCTTGCCCTGGCCACTCTTCTGCCCGGTTGTGTTCCGTGTGAACATTGCGTGGAATTGGCTCAACCCTTATCGTTGTCGGATCGCGTCTGGCACAGCGACTTTCTGGCTTTGTTCGGTGTAGTAACGGATGCCGAGACTTTCCATGATCTTGGCTTCTTCTGCCTTGTACAGTTGTGAAATGCCGCAATGTACGCAATATGACACATGACGAAAGAGTGTATAAGTCGTATGAGA